CTCTTAGGTGACCCAAAGCATACTAACAACTGGTCAGATCTTCTCCAAGAAGCAGACTTTTCCAAGTATACACTCAAAGCTCTGACGGGGCAGAGCAAGTGAAGCCTCTCTTCTCCCGCCGACACATGAGGTGGAGGATGGAATGCCTGAAGGACTACAGAGCGAGCCGTACTCGAAGGAACTTTAGGCACGTAGCCCGGACTCGGGTGCAAAAAGGCCTTTACTTTGCCAGGGGCAAACTCCAAGCAAGCTGGCGTTACCGCCAGGGCCTGGAGATCTCCCACCCTCTTAAGAGAGGTAATCGCTAAGAGAAAGACCATTTTCAGCGTTAAGTCCTTAGGCGAAGCCGACTCTAAAGGTTCGAAGGGAGCGAGGGACAACCCTTCCAGAACCATTGCCAGATCCCAGGCAGGCACCCTGGACCTGATCGCCGGCCTCATCCTCCAAGCACCACGGAGAAACCTAATGACCAATTGGTGCCTCCCCAGAGGTCCACCATCTACTGGCGCGTGGAAAGCCGAAACGGCAGCCACGTACACCTTAAGAGTGGACGGGGAGAGACCCGCAGAGAAACGATCCTGAAGGAATTCCAGAACTGAAGCCACTGGGCAGTTTACTGGATCCAACCTTCGTTCTCCACACCAAGTGTGAAACACCTTCCACTTGAGGCCATATAATCTCCTGGTAGATGGGGCCCTAGAGCTAAGTATGGTTTCAACCACCTCAGCTGATAAGCCAGCATTTAGGTACTGAACCCCCTCAGAGGCCAGACCCACAGCTTCCACAACTCTGGGCGAGGGTGGAAGATTGTGCCCTCCGCCTGAGACAATAGATCCCTCCTCAGAGGAATCGGCCATGGCGGAGCTATGAGGAGTGATATTATATCCGAGAACCATACTCGTGTCGGCCATCTCGGGGCAACCAGAAGTAGACTGATGCCCTCTTGACGGACCCTCTCCAGGACCCCTGGGAGCAGAGCGATCGGGGGGAAAGCATACAGGCGAAGCCTCGGCCAAGCCTGTACCATGGCATCCAACCCCAGCGGGGCTGGATGTGAGAGGGAGAACCAAAGTGGACAGTGGGACGTCTCTCGAGACGCAAACAGATCCACTTCCATCGGTCCGAACCTCTCCCATATCGACTTCACCACATCCGGATGAAGTCTCCATTCCCCGGGCCTCAGCCCCTGCCTCGACAGGATGTCTGCTCCCCGATTCTGAACCCCTGGGATATACATTGCCCTTATTGACAATATCTTTCCCTGGGACCAAAGGATAATCTGATGCGCCAGTTTGCACAGAGGGCGCGATCTGAGTCCCCCCTGTCGGTTCAGATAGGCCACCACTGACGTATTGTCCGTCCGTATAAGGACGTGGCGACCCTCGATGTCTGGGAGGAAGCTCCTCAAAGCCTTGAATACCGCCATCATCTCCAGGCAATTTATATGCCAAGTGCGATGATGGTCCTGCCACAGACCCCTGGTAAAGCGGCCGTCCATGACCGCGCCCCAGCCCGTAAGGGAGGCGTCTGTCGAAACGGTTTCCCGGCGACATGACACCCCCAACACTGGCCCTTGGGATAGGAACCAAGGCTTCTTCCATATTTGCAGAGACTGAAGGCACTTGCGCGTTACTCTGATCATACGGAACGGATTTCCTTTGGGTGAGAACCCCTTGGTCTTCAACCACCACTGGAGGGGCCTCATGTGAAGGAGGCCCAGAGGAATAATGTTGGATGCCGCTGCCATGAGGCCCAGCATCCTTTGAAAGTGTTTCACAGTGACGGCCTGACCTAGCCTCACCCTGGACACCATCGCCAGAATTGACTCGATACGTGCGGGAGACATACGTGCCTGCATTGTAATCGAGTTCCACACGACTCCCAAAAAGGTCGTGCCCTGGGACGGTTCTAGCACACTCTTCTTCAAATTGAGTCTTAACCCCAATTTTTGAATATGGCCAAGAACGACATCTCGATGCCGAACTGCCATCTCCCGAGACTGGGCCAAAATAAGCCAGTCGTCGAGATAATTCAATACGCGAATCCCCTGAAGTCTCAGTGGAGCAAGGGCCACGTCCATACACTTGGTAAATGTGCGGGGAGAGAGTGCTAGGCCGAACGGAAGAACCCGATATTGGTATGCTTCGCCCCCGAAAGCGAACCTCAGGTACCTCCTGTGACAGGAAGGATGGAGATGTGAAAATAGGCGTCTTTCAGATCTATCGTGACAAACCAGTCCTCGGATCTGATTTGACTCACGATTGTTGGAATGGTCAACATTCTGAATTTGAACTTTCTCAGAGACCGGTTCAACACCCTGAGATCCAAAATTGGCCTTAACCCCCCATCCTTCTTTGGAACTATAAAGTACCGGCTGTAAAACCTGGACTCCCTGTCTACCGGAAGAACACGTTCTATGGCTCCTTTCAACACCAGAGTCTGTACTTCTTGTTCCAGCACCTGAGCCTGCTCTGGGACCACCGCAGTGAGCACCACCCCAGAGAACTTGGGGGGGCGGTGCGCGAACTGCAGTCTGTACCCAACTCGTATTATCTGCAGGACCCATGGAGATATGTTGGGAAGATGATACCATCCCTCTACAAAATCTGCTAAGGGTGCCAGCCTCTCGAGGCTGGCCTCTGGTGTCTTTTCGCTGGAAATTGATGCGGCCCGAAGCGCTGTTAACGGCGGACCTGCATCTTTTCCTAGAGGGCCCCGTTGTGAGAACAACCTCGGTTGTCTCACTGCGGAGGGGGCAGCCCTCTGAAGTCCTGCCTTGGCTAGGACCTCTTTTCCGAAGTCCTCTTAGCCTGAATGACGTCCCTCAGGTCGCCCCTCTGGCTGGAGGACTTCGGTTTTTGGGAGCGTTTCCTCTGTTGCCAAGACCCCGGAGGGGGGGCTCTAGAGGAAACGCTCTCCTTCTGCTCTGCCCTGTGGGAGGAGCTGGCTGATGGCTGGGGCTGATTGCTTTGCCCCCCCCTACTAGATTTGGCCTTCGCTTTCCGGGGGAGGTACTGCTGGAACGCCGCAGATTGTTTTCTCGACTCCTGAAACCTGTCGACAACCGAATTAACGGCGTCGCCGAACAGGCCAGAAGCCGAAAGCGGCGCATCCAGCAGGAAGGACCTATCCTTTTCTTTAATACCGGATAAGTTCAGCCACAGATGCCTCTCCGTGGCCACCATGGCCGCCATAGAGCGGCCAATAGCGCTGGCCGCTTCCCTAGTGGCCCGGAGAGACAAATCTGCGGCCTTCCTCAACTCCGCGACATCTTCAGGAGTAGGCCCCTCCCCCTCATCCAAATCTTTCAGGAGGTCGGCCTGGTATGCCTGCAAAATCGCCATTGAGTGCAGACACGAACCAGCCCGACCCGCCGCCATGTAAGCCCTGCCCACCAATGCAGATGTCTCTCTGCAGGGCTTACTAGGCAACACCGGGGTCTTTAGGGAAGACGCCGATTCGGGAGAGAGATAGCTTGCTAAAGCCTCCTCCACCTTCGGCATCTTCCCATATCCCATATCTCGAGCCCCCATAACATTGCTGTAATCTATTACATTGGGACTCGAAATACGGGACGAATGCGGTCTTTCCCACGTTCTCGAGATCTCTTTATGGAGATCAGGGAAAAACGGCAGACCCCGGCGGTGAGGCTGTGACCTGCGCTGCAGGTAACGCTCGTCCATTTTACTGGTGACTTGCGTTTCCTGCTCATGTTGTGGCCAGCTGATGTTTAGTCTGGCCACAGCGCGTGTCACAACCTCCACCAGCTCCTCATAACCCAGGCCGCGTGATGGCGTGCTGAGATCACGGTCGTCCGCATCGATGCTGAGCACGTCCCCTTCCTCAGAAGTAGACAGCTCAAGCACCGGGACCTGATCGCGGGTAGGAGAAACCGCAGCGCGGGCTCCCACACCACTCTCAGAGGCTGCGGGATCAGCCGATGGCGAGCGAGAAAATGCCTCAGCATTCTCACTCTCCTCCGCCAGATCCCGCTGCGAACCCCAGGATCTCAATCGCCGCATCGCCTCGACATATGCGGGACCGGAACCCTGGGGAACGCGAGCCTGACCGTGCTCGTCAAAGCACGCCAGCCGGGAGCGCAGCACTCTAATAGGCAAAGCCTCACACATTTCACAAGCAGCCCCCTCGAGAGCTGCCCGTGCGTGCTGCACTCCCAAACAATACACACAGAGAGAGTGTGCGTCCCCACCCGTGATGTAACGAGGACAGGGATGCACACACCTCTTGAATTGTTCACTGGCCATACTTTCTTTCAATAATAAGACAAACAACACAAAGCGCTTGCTGAAGAGCGAAAGCTAGTGTGTGTTGTGACAGCGTCACTTTTATACTTCCGGGTATGCCGTCACATGTTACGTCACGACGCAACACCAATCAGGATTGGATTAGTTTCATTCATACTTCAGAGGCGCACGCTTAGGGAGCGTCCCCAAAGAGTCGATTTTATCGACGCAGTGTTGAGTTCCCTCGATAGGGAACCAGCTGTTTTAACAGAGGTGTGTAGACTTTGTAAATCCACTGTTTATATACTGTCCAATACGTAAAGCAATATATCAAATGTTGCAAATCTCAACTGCTTGACTTTATTTATATAAAAAGCTGGTTGATACATTTTGGTACTAAAGTTGGAAATATAAGTGTCTGCATACATCAGTATATTGGCATACTGTATGTACTATATAGCAATCTCAGTTCAAATAGTAAAATATATTATCGCCCAGCTCTAATCTTCCAATTGCGACTACAAAGCATAAATATATTAAGATGTTATACACATCAACGTTGTCATTTTCTTTAAGAAATGTGTATTGTGAAAAGTGCTAAATAAATAAATTTGACGTATTTGATATAAAACGTAAACAAGGATAGTGTGTTCCCCATAGTCCAAGTCTGACTTATGTTTCTCCCCTCAAACAGAACCAATCTTCCCATGCTCTCCAGGAATAAATGATTGTCTAGGTGTGTTTTGTGCTCCCCAGGCCGAGAAAAGATTCCCGGGACCACCATGGTCCTAATCCATCAAGGAGCAGTCAGAGTGGAGCCGGAGCCCGTGACAGCCATTCAGGAGGAGGGCCAAAGGCTGACCGCAGGACACCGGCCCCCCCTCGCCAGCGGCACGACACGGATTCGTCCTCTGATGGACCACGGTCCCCGTCACCAGGCTATCGGCGGCGCCACCACACCAGCTCAGACCCCTGATTCCCCCGTCCACACCTCCTCACCCCGAGAATGGACCTTTGTCAAGCTCTGGACGACTGAGACATGGCAGCTCAGCGCGCACAGATTCATATGCAGCACACCAGTGAGGACTTCTGGGTACATTCCACCTGAATATCATGTAAATGTGGAGCAAAACTTTACCTTCAGGCTAATTAGCACAGCACTCTTATTCTGGACACGAAGTGAGACTGCATTTCCTTTTCTAAAAAATGAAATTCTCTCATCATTTATTCACCCTCACTCCATCTGCGATGTATATGACTTTCTTTCTCACGTTAAACACACAAACTAAAATTTTTAGGAAAATAATCAATCTCTGCGAGTCCATAAAATGCAAGTGGCGAATGCCAAATAGAAATGATAGATTAGAAGATATGCGTATTTTTCTTACACATACCTATCATTTCTATCCAGAAGACATTGATTCATCCACCGGGGTGACATGGATTACCGTCCAATTGCTGTGTGTGGATTTTCAAACACATTCACTTGCATTATATTATATGGATATTAAAAATATTAGTTTGTGTTTATCGGAATGAATAAAGTCCTTATATGCAGATGACAAACCCAGTAATGTATTATAATTTTGAAGTAAAATGGGCTTATTTGTCATAAAAAAAAGATAGATTTAATTCTCTTTATGCAAAATATAATTTATTTTTTTGAGCTGACATGATATCTGGACACGTTTTGGTCTTCGATGCATAAAGAGAAAACATGATCTCCAGCGATTACAGCAGATACGATTGACATTTTATTCTTGTATGTTTGGTGAAATAAACGTTTTCCATCCCATTGTTATGGTCAATGCACCTGCCCTTAACACCTCTAGCCTTCAGATATTGTTTTCTCCGTCTATTCTGTGTTCTTATTTTAAATGTGCTGCTTCCTGGCTGCAGGAATGCGCTCCTGTCGCTAGAATAGAGGAGTGTTTGCATTTGCATTGAGTTGCTGTGAAAGGCGGTATTCTGCTGGCTGGCACCTGGGGCCATGCGAGAAAAGAGCAAAGCGCAGACAAAAGACAAGTGCAAAAATCCAGGCCCAGGGATGGCCCGAGCGCCACACACAAACCCCAAGCCGCTGGAGCAGCAGGAGTGGGCTGAACAAAAGCCACCCTGTAAGAGAGCCAGCGGACCCCTCCTTTTCCCACCATCATGCCTTCCCTGCCACGCATTACTGGCTCGGCTGCATTATCCATGGCAGCCTAATCGGGCCAAAGGAACGTTGTTGTAGATTGCTTTCCCTCCCCCTCGTTGGGCGCCTGATTCCAGGCTGCTGACCCCGTAGGCCCGGCCTATCCTATTTGTCACTTATTAAAGTGCTTCTGCTGAGAAGGCGAGGGAGGCGTTTGGAGAACTGGAGGGCGTTTGAGTGGAGAATTAATGAGTTCCTCAAGAGCACAAGGCACACGCACCGCAGATCTCAGCCGTCCCGTCCGCTGAACGCCCAGGCACTCGCCACAGATGCTTACTGCTCAAGTAACTCGGCTCATTTCTCGAAAAACGTTTGATGGTAATTTAATGCTAACCTCAGTCTAACCTCAGTTAGATGGTTAAAGATTTCAACAGGTTTGATGAACGTCTCTGCTCTTCTTAATTGTCATTTCATCCGAACATCAACATTTGTGAGATTTAGTCAGTTGAAACAGTTCTGGGTTGATTTACCTAGCCTTAAAAAATATTAAAATAAATCACTAAGCTTTCTTGGGCCCCAGAATATTTTAAGATTGAATATCTGAACATGCAATATGTAAGGGCCATAATAATAATAATAATATGTAATAATGCCATAAACGGATAATGCGGCTTAAAAAAGGTGGAATGGAAAAAATAGCTGACACGAGGTCCATTCAAATCGCCTCATTCTTCCCTCGGGTCATTATGGCCCAATATATATATATATATATATATATATATATATAAATATTGAGTGTTAATCGGAGGGATCCAAGACCCTGTGACTTTTGTTGCACTTGAACCACGAATACACACAAACACACACACACAAAGTAATGGGTTTGAGGAGTTTTGAGGTTGAAATTTAAAAAAAAAGTAACAAAATCCTTCCCTTGCGAGTCAAATTGACCCCCATAGGAATAAATAGAGTGCAAGGATTGTTTCAGTACACATAGAATAACCTAAAAATGCTCAAAATTCAAACTAAAAATGGCAAACTATATATATATATTATAATGTCTACTACATGTGTATCTGAACGCATACTGAAGAGAAAATGACTTCAGGACCCAGCAGAAACAATTTATTTGTGTCATATGGAGCTATAAGCTCAGGGCCGGCCCGAGGCATAAGCGAACTAAGCGGCTGCTTGGGGCCCCCTGGCCACCAGGGGGCCCCCTAATCGAGGTTATTTTTTATTTTTATTTTTTTAGATGACTTAAACAAGTGACATAAATCAATGAATGAATGAATATGACTGAATGAATAGTTCAAGACAACAAAATTCTGATTTAATGGTCAATATACCTGCCTACAAGTTACAACTGCTGCTCTGTCTGCCAGCGTTTAAGTCATACGCATAATCTTCTAGACACCTCGCGCGTGCATAGACAATTCGTGCGCAACTGCGCCTAGTCACGGTATCGGTTTAAGTTGGAGAAAATAGCCCGCAGGAGAACTTATCCTTCAAGGTGTAAGGGTAGCAGTTTGAATAAATAATAAACATAGCAGTTTGAACTCTTCTCCACTTTATTATACCACACATCAGATCTCCAAACACCCGCGACACTCCAGTAGCCTAGCAAGTGCGCACGACCCATCTACGGCAAGCCCCTAGGGGAAAAATACATTGCATACACACATACAACGAGCGCCAGAACATCATAACCGGTATTATAGTAACAGACTGTGTTGATTATGTCATGTACTATATAACAAAGTCTGTTACAATAATAATAATAACAATAATAAAGAGTTTGAGGATAGTTACTCTGTATTGAGACAGTTGAGAAATAGGCTAGTAATATTTTTAGTTTTCAACAATAGCTGAGACCCAGAAAGTTTTTTTTTTTTTAATTTAGTTTTTTTTCATGTCATCACATTGTTTAGAGCATAATAAACAAATGGTAAAAAAAAACAACAACCTTTTTGAAAAATTATATTTTATTCATATGTAATACTTTGTCCTCTGTAGTGGACACCAGGACTCAGTTGTTAAAATTAAATGACATACAATGTGTAGGCAAAAACAATGGGATTTTTTTTCCAATCACCAATACATTTTGGGGTTTCAGGATTTCTTTGAACTAAAATTTGTATAAAGATGATTATCAACTATGTTATGAAAGATATAATGGAATTAATTGATACACCAATTTACTTTATGCAATATATGGGTAAAATTGGCATAAATTAATATTCCCATTCAATGCAAAGTATCTATACACTGTATCTAATTTGCACATTAATGTGTTCTTGGAGCAACATTTAATGAGGAAAGAAGTGTAAGCATTGGCGTAATAATAAGCAACATTTTAATAATAATATCTAATATGTCATAAGAATATTGACGTATAATTTATTTACATATTCACTTGTTATGTCTCCCAGAATGCCTGATAAACATGATTTATGTCCTGATGTTCTCTACAGTGGACATGAATGAAATCAATGCCCTGTAACGCAAAGTCATTTTTTTCATTTGAAACCCCATAACATTTTCATGAGATGTTGGTTGATGAAATACAATTTGAAAAGTAGTTAGATTTAAATTATAATTACAATATATTACCATATTTCAATAAGAGTGCTACATTTGATCACTAAATTAATGTTAGACATTTTTAAAGACCAAGGAGAAGTTGTTTTCATGGTGAAACCTCCAAACATTTGGTATCTCTGTATTGCCCTGAATGTGCTCTTTACAGGACATCCAGAAAAAAAAATGTGACATGCATGGTGTCAGAGAAATACACTAAAATATAATGTCCACTACAGTGGACAAAAGTCTATTCCTGGGTCCCAGGAGGATAGGCCAAAGTATCATTGCTCTTACGTTTCTAATTTCTCAGTTTTGTCATAATTTTAGCAAATAATTTATTGTATATGTTTTGAGACAGTTTTAAGACTGTTTTCAAACTTTTTTATTTAAGTAGGCATCTATTTTTTTATTAATACATAACCTCAGTGTATTCATTTATAATGTATCATTTTTGCGTGACATTTATGTCAATAATCGTCAAACACAGGTGACTCCGCGTCGTGGGAGGGGCCCCCAAATCAAATTCTGCTTAGGGCCCCCAAAAGGCTCGGGCCGGCGCTGTATAAGCTCATGTAGTGGCAAGAGTCATGAAATATCATATTATTATTTTTCCACAAGAGGTCGGCAAAGACACCCAATGTAAGATATTTTAAACTGATATAAAAGGGTTATGCATGAAAGTGAGTTATTTTGAATTTAAGTTGAAAGAACGTGAGGAACGTGCTTCTAAATTACTATCTATTTATTTATTTATTGATTAAATCTATTAATTTAAAGGTAAAAAATATGATCAAAATGAAAGCTTTCTGGACAAAGAAAAATGAAGTATAATTTTACGGCTTCGGGTCATTTTGACAAAACGCGAGGGAAGATGTCACTCATTCCATTGTAATTTGCCAGCACTGACAATTTAAAGCTGTTATAGATGTTTGCAGGGCAATATTTAACATTTATTTAAACATTTATTGTCAAAATGTACTAAATTTATATAAGCGAGTACATCATGAATGAATTTTCCAAACCATGTTTTTGTCTTTTCCTGAATCACTACGGTACACCTATGTTGCAGTGTTTATACTGGGACTATTTTAGACTGGTACGGGTCGTGCCACTGCTACTCGGCCCAGTACGTGCGTGACTCATCAGAGAGAAGTAGATCCGGCTACAGTGTTCTTCCACAACACGCATATGCGCTTCAGTTTATTAACCACTAGACCGCCAAAAATAACGGACTGCAGCCAGCTTTAAATTAATTATAGCATTTATTTGAATTAATTATTAAGTGAGAGATGGGTGTGTGAATTACCTTCCTCTGTGCAGCGTCTCTCTCTCTTTATATATTGACAACACAGCTGTGAGTTTAATTACTTCAAAAACAGCAACGTTACCCCCTCATGGCTGAAAAATATAAAGTAGCAATTCAATAGCAAAGCTATTTTATTCATCAAAAGTCGCAGGGCAGAGCTGAAAACTATTTCTGTGTGTGCGCTTCAAAGAAAACAGCACATTCATACAGAATGGTGATTATTAAACTGACTTACTACTTGTGCATTAAACTGCAGTAATAATTCGGTAACCTTTCCATAAACTAACAAAAATATACAATGAGAAAGAAGAAAAACAATCTGAAGATGAAAACAATGAACTAAATTGTAAAAGTTTAATACAGTCTTTAAATAAACTGTATTATTTGTTATCAATTTTCTAAGCTTCCATTTACTGTAGCTAAACGTGGTTTTTGAATGCGCTGCCAAAATTGTTCATTTAAAGCCCTGAGATGCTCACGTCTGATCTTGACGGACTGAAAAGAAGAAATGAACCAGAGAAGACATCTATTACGTATATGTTTACCAGCTGGAGAGAACTTTTTTGGAAACTCGCTTTGGCAAGCTACAAGTTCCCGAAAGGGACTCCAAATAAACATAGTTTTGGCCTGATTTTGTTTCGAAATTACGTCACACCAGTTCGTTCTTCGGTTTTGCTTGAAGTATATCAGAGTATATATGATGCTGTTCATCACTTACACTAACAAATAAATGAATTTTCATCTAAAATGTCGCAGCATTATGTAGCCTATGCTGTAAAAACCACCGAGCTGTTGACCATGGCGAAATATGAATGATAAGGTGGTTGGGGTTATCTTCATCTCTATCAGCTTGTGATATCATTTAAGGTCTCGCAATGGGCTCTATGCACGGCGGTATTTCCGGTGAAGCATTAGGGATGCTCGACAACTTCCGCCGATCATAGAGTCCAATGCAATAGCGAGAATTTATATTGCATTTTATACTCCATGGTTATACTAATGAAACGTTAGTCACAAAAACAGATAAAACAGACACCCCTCGTTGTGTTTATGCTTCTTTTTAAAATTATATCAAATAAACATATATAAAATTACATCTAAACGTATGTACGTTTCGTTTCAAAGACGGGAGGACAGTAAATATTGAAGACTCTGCCATAATCCCGTTTTCTCCGGTTTTCCTCCGCTTTAATCTACACAACCGGAAATAGACGAGCATCCTTGCGTCAAATGCGGAACTTATGCGTGCATATAGCCCATAGTGCGTGTTCTAATTCGATAAGTTTGAGGCATATCGGTTCAGGTGCACGGCTGGATTAGGTCAATAGTTAAGCTAACCCAAGGCTATAGGGGTTCACATTAGGGTTGAAAACCCTAAAACACTTGTGGTGTTCCCAGCCAAAATGACCGGCCTGCAAAAAAATTGCTTGTAAATCTCTCATGTTACCTTATTATTGGATTCAATCATATCAATCTGATGTAGTCAGTCGTATCTGAGCCGTATCCAGATCAGATGGAGGACCTGAACCTATCGTAGGCCTCACTGATTTGAGAATAAAGTTAATCTCTGTGAAAAAGAAAGCCTGTAGTTTGCAGGCTTCAAAATAGTTTGCTTGTGCACATGAATGTGTGAGTGAGTGTGTATGTGCATGGATACAAGAGCATGTATCCACATATGCACAAGTCCGAAGCCTTTAATTTTGCAAGTCCACATGTACATAGGCTACATGAACACACTCCTAAACACTATTGTTTCTCTGATTTTCAACTTCCCCATTCATTTTTCATGGGCAGCCATTTTGACCAATATAAGCTCAGTACAAATATAAGCTAAAAACAAAACCTGTCCTAATATAAAGAAAACAAGTTTACAAAAAGATTGAATGGAATTTTGGTGATAAAATACTGTGACTTCGACAAAATTATCCACAAATAATGCTTTTTTCACTCAAAAACTGAGGTATGGAAGCTCAGAGGACTACGATCAATCAATTCCGAAAAAGAAATATAAAACCGGTCCTAATTGAAAGATAACAAGTTGACAATGTATTTAATCCAATATTTGGTCATGATGTAGCATAATGAGAGTTTTAGGAGCATTTTTTTGTAGGCCGGTCATTTTGGACTGGGAACACCACGGTGTGTTACAATGTGGAAAAATACGCACAAAAAGTATCAATATTTTTTGGGCAAGTTGTTAGACTGGGTGAGTAAAGTCAGTAAACTTTAATCCAATGCAATGAGATTAACTAGCATTTTCGGGTACGGCACAACATAAGGGTTAGTTAAATAATTCTATCCCTTCGCTAGATACACACAAGTGAAGCTGCTAGATGAGCGAGTTTTGATGAGCATAAGTTTTGGTGATAGATCAATTTGTTTTGGGGGGCTGTATTGTTCCTATCATCTCTGTGTAATGATTATATGTACAGTGTATTAATGTTGCAGCACGATTTAGGTACTGTAAGCACCAGGCAAGTGTTGGCTTGCATTCATTATCCATTATAGATCAATTACTGTAACAATAACAACATGCTGTAAATGCTACAATCCAGTGTACTCATCATCAGGTGCTCTTCACTTACTGCCCCAAAGGATCCATGCTCACAAATGGATAAAATACTTTCTAATTTCATCTGGAGAAACAAAAATTAATAATTAATAAACTGTCTGGAGGTGGTACATATTCTGTTTTTTAATTTTTTCAACCAAATTGTGAAAAATTATAGTATTAAAAACGTTGTCCCTCATTATTTTACATAAACACAATTTCTCTCTCAGCAGATCTTTTATATGGAACAAAGGTCATATCACTCATAACGGCATAAAATATTGTTGTAAATTTTTACGCCGTTATGAGTGCGTATAAAAATTTGTAAACCAACTTTTTGACAAGAATACACACTTACCCCAATTATTTTTCCAAATGTTTTTTAAGTTTTAGGAGGTATATTCAAATTTCTTTTGATAAACCCTAAGAACAGAAATTTTAACCTAATATAAAATTTTAGAGTTGAAGATCAAGGGGTTATGTATTAACCACTATTTGGATCAGCAAAATATGTGTACATTAATTTTTTCAGTTGTGAGCCACATTTTTCAATGAATGACTGAAGGCATATTTCAAAGCAGCAGATTAACAAGATCACACCAGTAAAAGTCCAGTTATACTAATATCTTTAATTACAGTGCATTTCTGTCAAAATGAAAAACAATAAAAAAAGACATTGGTTAAGAGTCACACTATACAACATTTTGCTATGAGATTCACATAGTTTTGACCCCAAGTAATCAGTGTCTACCAAATCAGAGGTTAATTGAGAAGAGAGAGAATAAAAGAGAAATAATAAAGTGGCTTTTAAACCATCAGTTCTAACATTGCATTAACAGTGACTATGTGATTGACGTGACGGTTGTTAATCTCAAACCGGTGTCTCTGTGGACTGTAAAGGCACCAGGGCTTCTGGGAGAAAATCACTTCTACATGCAAAACAGAAAACATGTCATAGCATTCTTATAACTGTTTTACGTCCTAAAAATGCATTACTACTTTGTTAGATATTAAGTTATCATGTGCTAAGATGAGGTCGGTGTTGTTTATTCCTTGTGCTGGTTAGATATTGAGTTCATAACACACTTAAATCTAGAACATGAAGTTGAAAGTAACACTTAAACAGAGTGTCAAAACAACAGGAAATTTCTTTAAATTAAGGGTTCAGTTTATCTTAAGGGTGAATCTCCAAAAATATGTCCAAGTGCATTATAACCCACCATAAATATATAATTGTAATATTTAGCAAAACGAAAACAAAGCCTATTTTTGGAAAACAGATATTGTTGCATTATTTTTTTTTTATGACCAAACTCCAATCCCCTTACTGTAACGCGCCTGAACATTTGAACCTTTGTTAACCTGAGCCGCAACAACTTTTCATCCACATTCACAAAAACGTATGCTGTGTATTGGGATTAATCTGATTAAAAAAATACAAATAATAATCTGAATGTTTGTGTAGCTGACTAGATTTAAAAGCATCCCTCCTCTGTGGCTTCTAAAAGCTGGAGGTCACGTCAGCCTCGGTGTAATCGATTTTTGGTTTCTCTCCCTCCAAATTGAACCGTAATATGTGCAGGTAGTGTCCGTAACGTTTGATTTCCTTTACTCAGTTCAAGACAAAAAAAATACAGTTTTGTTTACAGTACATCTAAAAGAGAGTCTTATTATAAGCACAATAAAATAATACATGTGCAAGATTCAAATGAGACCTGACAGAGTTTACAGGACTGACGTTCTTCAAACTCGTTCCAATGACTCACACAGAAAGAATGTGGGGAGGAAAACAAAACAATTAAGGACTAAATCTAGTTTGCATAATGGTGGTCAAAAAGCTGCCTCACAACAAAAAACTATTTACATTAAAGTGAGTGACACTTTCTCGCCGTATTTGAAACGAGCGCAGCTTCCAGCACCGTCGGTTTAAAAACAAGAGTAAAGCGAGTGTTGAGAATATGAAACTAAGGAAGAGCAGAAAAGTGAGGTCATTATTTGTGGTTTTTCAGTTGGTTGGACAACCAATCGAGTCCTTCGTAGAGGCCGTCGCCGCTCGTGGCGCATGTGGCCTGAATGTACCAATTCCTGTGCCGGAGCGAATGCAGCCCCAGCTTGTCGGTGATTTCCGCAGCGTTCATGGCGTTCGGTAGATCCTGTCGGATAAAGACATTGGCGAATGTGTCAAATAAAACGCATTTGGAAAGAGCTGCAGATAATCAGTTAAAGTCTGTCAGCACCTGTTTGTTGGCAAACACAAGCAAGACTGCTTCCCTGAGCTCGTCCTCGGCCAACATTCTCATCAGCTCCTCTCGCGCTTCATTCACACGCTCTCTGTCATTGCTGTCAACCACAAAGATCAGACCTAAAAAAAAGAAAGACAACAAACTTCAGAATAACGGACTGGTGTGAGAGACTTGGCTCCAGCCACAGATTAGGGATGAAATGGTTGCCGGTTTGACGATAAACCATGATAATAAAGATTCCTGAAGGGTAGTATTACTGTTTCATATTTTAATTATTAAATCCTTGTTTGAAAAACAAGTGGTAAATACTGTTCAGCATTAAAGGAATAGTTCACTCAAAGTGAAAATTATGTCATCCTTTCCTAACCCTCAAGTTGTTTCAAACCTGTATGAGCTTCTTTATTCTGTTAAACACAAAAGATGAAATCTTCAAGAATGTCGGTGACCAGACTGCATTGACTTCCATGGTAGTGAAAAAAAATAAATAAATACTATGGCAGTCGATGGAGTCTATCAACTGTTCAGTTACCAATATCCTTTAAAATATCTTCTTTTGTGTTCAGCAGAAGAAAGAAATTCACACAGGTTCATTTTTGAGTGAACTATTCTTTTAAGGACTAGCCACATCATTTTTATTATAAGATTGCTGTCCCTTTAAGAGTTCATACTGCACAGATAAAGACACGCGTCTGATTTCCTAAAGGAGTTGAGTTTTTTATGTCTAAACCGTCTACTTTAACCGACTGAGTATATGTAAACCTTGCGTGTATTCGAAAATTTAAGCCCAATAAGACGTGAAAGATAACTTGGTTCAATACTCACGTGAATTAAATGTTTAACTTACAAAGCTTTAAACGCATGCAAATTATAAAACGTTCATGACTGCCAATAACTACAGTGCCACTTGAGCGTAACTCTATTGGGAACTCTACCGCTGCTGAATAATTGTCGTTATTTTTGCTCACAAAAAGTATTCTTGTCGCTTCATAACATTAAAGTTGAACCACTGGAGTCACATGGACTATTTTTTTTATACTATATTTACTACCTTTCTGGGCCTTGAAAGTTGTAATGACGTTGCTGCCTATGGGTGGTTCAGAAACCACTCGGATTTCATCAAAAACATATCTTAATTGTGTGTTCAGAAGATGAACGAAGGTCTTGCGGGTTTGGAACGATGTGAAGGTGAGTAATTACTGAGAAATTTAATTTTGGGGTGAACAATCCCTTTAAATATTGGCCATAGGATAATCATGGACAAATAGCTTGGTTTAACCATTCGTTTTAAATTATTTACTTGACTGCAAACTTGGTACGTCGGTGGCATGTTGGAATACATCTTCTTTTCAAATTGAGGAAGTAAATGTGGACATGGACACAACAAAAAACGGACTAATTGATCTTATTCAAATACATAGTGATTACAGCAGCCCAATTAAAACTTTCTAAGACTACAAAAATACACAGTATCACACAGAAATGTCCGATAACACTGGCCCTCATTTATCAAAAGTGCATACACCAAATTTCCAGCGTACACCTGGCGCACACCCAAAACCACGGTGATTTTGAGATTTATCAATATGGACGTTGGCGTACGGCACGCTCAAATCCTACACCAGCTCAGGAGGTGGTGTACGCACGTTTTGAGTTAGTGCGGAAATGCGCAGAAAATTCCTAACACCACAAAACGCACCGACAAACAAACTAAAAGATATGATATATTATGACCTGTTAAATAAAAATAAAAAAAACTCGGTCAACAAGGTGTTGAACAACAAGGTCAAACCCGTGTGTACAAGGCGTAAAATGAGGGCGTGGGGGGAGCGGAGACTTGAATATTTAGGGGCGTGTTATTCTAATGACAATCGTTTTCGGCCGCGGGATTTATCAATGGCAGGCATTGCGTACACCTGGATTTCATAAATCAGGCGGTGAGAGGAGAATAAGCATAATCTTACACCAACATATACGCCCGTTTTTACGCAAGAATGATAAATGAGGGTCACTATCTGCACATTGGAATTAACTGGACTTCCCAACTCTCACACAATTCACTCAGGGCCCGACAGATAATACTTGTCAGAGACACGTGGATTTTTTTGAAGGGGCAAGTGAAAGAGAATTGGCAACTGATAGTGGATAATAGTATATAAATGTATAATGTACCGATGATAAGGTTGCGCTGTTGAGGCTCGCATAGCCTCATGAGGAGAAATAGAAACATATGAGTGCAACACACACAAAGAAACTTGGTACTGCGGTAAACAAACTAAATGTGGAGTTTTTTTATATTTATAACATATGACGTAGTTAAGCAGCATCAGCATTCAGCGTTTTGAATGAATCGGTTGAGTCAGATTCAATGACCCACACATAGACATTGGTCTCGTTCCTGAACGAATCAGCCGTTTGAGTGAATGACTCAATGACTCACTCAATAGGACACTTACTTAGTGGTGCACGATATATCGGCTGCCGATATAACATCGGCCGATTTGGTCAATTTTTTACACATCGGTATCGTTCCGATGTCAAAATAGGGCCGATGTGAACAGGCCGATGATCATTTCCTGTGTATTTGACGTGCGTGGGGGCGGGATGTTTGTTTTTGCACGTGTATTAAAAGCGCAAGTGCGTTTAAACATCAAGCGCACGAAGACTGGAACTGGTGAGCTGTTTTCTGCCAGCCTTCCTAATGCGTATTTTTGTCCCGCCAAAGCCATATTTGACCGGTAAGTGATGTAGATGAGTGACTGCTGCGCTTGTTTAACTGAGGCAACGAGAGTGAAAGCACCGGTCCCGCGCGCCGTCTTCAAAATGTCTTGCTCTCGCTCTCTCTCCCTCTCCCCCTCGCGCATGTTTATGAATTGAGTTGACTGAATATCTTTGAGAATACACGATGGTAAAAGGTCGGAAGACCGAAGTTTTTTTCTTCTGAACTACTGGTTGTGAATTGTGAAACCACACTTTCAATAAACCAAAAAAAATCTATCGAGTTGATGAAATGTTTTCTGTGTCAACTGTCGAGACCATAGACTGTAAAAATAGGTCGAGACAAATCTCGTGCGATGTTCTAAACTGCCTGGATATCACACAACGTGTGCCTTGGTTAATGTTAATGACACATCTGATTCGCGAACTAATGACTCCTTTGAACCGATTCACTTTAATGAATGGTTAAAACAACTGATCTGTCCAACACGAGCTCAAGAGACATAAATCGGAAACACTTTACAATAAGGTTCCATTTATTAAAGTGTACATTAAATGTAAAGTGTAAGGTTAATAGATTAATACAATGTTAACAAATTTTGTTAACATTCTATTAATATTAGTTTCTGCGGATTTACTCCATGACAAAACTACCCCAGTCATTCTAGAATGATTCATTCTTTCCAAATAGAGCAATTCAAGTAATCTGGTGAAATTGTTTTTATATCACAATATATATCACAGAAAAATAAAATATCACAATGTCATTTTTTACCAATATCGTGCAGCCCTAACCCTCGCTATGTGTTTTCTATACAGGGATATCGACATCGGTAAATATCGGTATCGGCCATAACAGCAATGTTAATATCGGTTATCGATATCGGCCACAAATTTTCACATCGGTGCATCACTACTTACTGGAGGTTTAGTTTCATGTTTTAAAGTAAAACAAACTAATTCCCATCATTACCTATGGGCATATTAAAAAAATATTTAAAACAATCTCATAACATGATTTAATTCAGTAGTAATTTTTCAGTGTATGTGATTTGATTGGATTGGTAACAGCCCTAAAGTGTCTTATTGTTCTAATTCAATGTATTGATAAAATTCTTTAAAAATGAAAGGTAAAACAAACATTTAAGATTAGAAAAAAAATGCCCTTTATAAAATTAAAAAAAGAAAAAAACACTCAGGGTATTTATGACTAATATGCAGATTAATATACATCAAAGCTGATAGAACGCTGATGAGAATATTGCTTCAGAATAGATCATATTTAAACCCACAACATAACTTTTTTACTCATGAAGTGAATGTTCGATTCGACCGAATGACCAAGCAGATGACAAGGCTTAAATGTCGAGTGTTGACACCGTTATTATCGTCTTACCTTGTGTGTTCTGGAAATAATGACGCCACAATGGTCGAATCTTATCTTGACCACCGACATCCCAAACCGTGAAACTTATATTCTTGTACTCCACAGTTTCAACGTTAAAGCCTTGAAAACAAAAGAAGAAAAAAAACAATATATAAATATATACACACACACACGTATTATTTATTCTCTTTATCAGACAACAAACAAACAAACAAATCTCGGTCATCTACCGATTGTTGGGATGGTGGTAACAATTTCTCCCAGCTTCAGCTTGTACAGAATCGTTGTCTTTCCAGCAGCATCAAGACCCACCATAAGAATCCGCATCTCTTTCTTGCCAAAGACTTTAAAGAGGTTTGCAAATAGGTTTCCCATGTTTGAGAGATGCTTTTTTCACTCCACTGAAACTAAACAGGACAAAAAGTTAATCAAAAAGCCACTTCCCTCCAGAAGCACCAAGTGTGAAATAATAATGTGAAAAATCATATGAGTGTGTACACTAGGCTAAACTTTAATTTTGGTAATTCAATTCTACATAATAACAAAACGTGATTCTCCAAGTGGATAACATGGACATGACAACTGACTCTTTAAATAAACCAGGAAATGCTGTAAAAAGCTCTCACGACTGAATATATAATCAAATATTTCAATGATAAAGCTGATACAACAACAGCTTGGAGAACAATTTTAAAACAATATTTAATAATAAAGCTTGAGAGTGTACACTTCAGGGACAGTTTTACAGAACTTAGCTATTATATCTCATCTGTTTAGTAAGCATAGCGATTTCAGTTGAGTTTCAGTAAAATATCAGGTTAACTTGTCAGATCATCAGACGTTTTAGTAATATGGCCACACGTCTTTATAACAATTTAAAATAATAAGTCGATTACACTAGTTTTTGTCGTTGACTAAAGCCCCTCTAATACTCATAACAGTTACATAATTTTAACAATAATGTTAAGTTAGAGCAAGTTGATGCATTACATCATCTATACGATATTAGTTATTTGAGAAGTGAAGTTGACTTCGGATTGTTTCCTTTGTCGCATACAGTCCCATCTGACCGGCTTAATTCAGTAAGTTTAACTCCGAAAATCTCCCACTAATCTTTTTTCACTGGTAATGCATCATACAAGAGTATCTAGCGTTTGTTTTCACTGTTGTTAAGATTTCGAATACAACAATTAAAGTTGAAATTAAATATATAAATGTATTTTTTTAAATGAAAAGAAAAAAAAAACTCACAGTTCAAGTTTCCTCAACTTCGAGGCGTTTCCTCCCTCAAGATGGCGGGTTTCCGGCCACGTCAGTGCGTCTTGCATCACTTCCGTCGAGAAGGTGATACATAACAGAGAACTCTGTAGGTCAGGTTTAGTACTACACGTGTGCATATTATTTTTTTTTATTATCAATGGAAAAATACAGAGATGACATGTTTATGGTATACAACTTTGTATAAACAATAAGTTCAGTATCATGATAATAAAGAGAAGAAAAAATAATGAACAACAATGGCTAGAAAAAGAAGAAGAAGAGAAGACAGAGAAAAATAATATGAGGGTAAGATGTATGCACATACAAATTAAAGACATCACATTTTTTCACAATTAGGTCCAACATGCACACATCCATGTAAAAAAGCAGGTAATATGGGTCATTGGCTTTTGACTAATTTAATTGTTGTATCAACGTAATATTTTCTTTCCAATTTCAAAATGATCAGAGAAATTGCATTTATATTATGTATATTTATATACATAAAATGGTTAGTTTGAAACTTTAATTAAATCTTTTTTTTTTTTGCAGAATGCAGGCTATATCCTATCTTTAGTGCAGCTGTGCGTTCGTTTAATTTAATCTCTTTTATCACCTTGGAAATGAGATGTTAACTAATTGGCTTTATGCACAACGGCATTACTTCCTGAACTTCAGCCAGCTCCTTGTTTCCTGTCTTCCATTATTGGGCAAACTTGATTAATTCAGGTGTGTCTGATTATTGTTGTCGTGACTACTGAGGTCAGACACACCTGAATTAATCAATTTGTCCAATAATGGAAGACAGGAAACAAGGAGCTGGCTGAATTGCAGCTGTCCATAAAGCCAATTGCTCAATGTTGATAATACTTGACAACTTATATTTAGACAAGCCCATTATTTCATAATTTCAACAGATAAAAACTATAACTTACACATAAAAATGTATTTAGTAGTATTATTATCGCTTTGCAGCCATTTTATCATTGCATCTTATGCACACAAAGGCACTTATTCATGTGTGTCGCATCAAAGTATGTTGAAAGCGGAAAGCTGACTTTCCCCCAGACAGCTGTCTTTTCATGAGGCATTTCTCAAGGCCAGGTTAACAGCTGCTACACCTCTGGGGGTGGAAGTCTGGGACCTCGGGTCCAAGACTCCTCCATGCTGGCACGAAAATATTAATACGCTGTTGGAGAACCACAAAGCGTGATGGCAGGGACATGTGGATACTAATGGCTGCTATAAGAACTATAATATGACATGCCAACTATTGCTAAATCATTATCCAGTAGATTTATGTTGATGTTGAAAACACAACCTACACATCAATATATTTGTTTCTCATAACAGGATGTTAGCATTAATAAAAAGCGACAAAACCCACGTTAACTATAACTACATTGCGGTTGCAAATAATGTCCTATTTAAAGTGGTACACTAGTGGAAAAGCAATTTGGTTTGTTTGACCATAAAGTTAACGTTTACTACTTTATTAATCCCACAAGGGGCAATTATATTGCAGTTATATTGCAATCATATCACAAACTACAAAAACATACATTGAAAACAATCATATTCCAAATACACATATCTACATTTTACAACATTGCAATGCACCATATGCTTTATAATAATAAGAGAGCAGGAATATAGGGCTCATATTACAATTGAATTGAATGAGATGTGCATTTTATATGCAAAAATAAATGAACCAAGGCTATTTAGGATCTAAGTTGTTTTTTATTCATTTATTGGTCGGTTATTGTTGATTTATTTTTTTGCAAGAAGTGTTGTTTCGGTTATTGGTCTATTTGCAAATAATATTTTATTTTAAAATATGCACATATTCTCAACTCTTATTCATATGTCTAATATATAACAAATGCAAAATGTTTCTTGTCTCGTTTACATTCAGTTATGAATTACATAAATCCTGTAGGCCTAAGTTCATTAAAAAGTTGAGAGTTTGAATCACTGGATATTACTGTGTGTCAGTGAACATTTTGTATTGTAAAACAGTTGTCAAATATTTAATGTTTAGCCACTTGCATCTTTCCACACACTCTTTCGCTGCTAAACCAAGCACTGCGTTGAATTTCACAGTTTGGCCATTTCAATTTCTAATTAATAGGAGGAATTTGTCCACCTCAATGTCTATATTGTTTACGGCCCTGAAATTAATGCATTTTAGACAAAATTCACAACAGTAATGTTCATAAAAATGGAAAACGACCACAAATCACATAACTTCCTACAGTATGTCCCCAGGCCTGTGTGGCGCATTTTCATGATAAATACAACACTTACTATACAGTAATGATGTTTACAACATTTTTTTAAATTGTAACCTATATATCAGTATTGATTCTCTCTTCAGTTATTAATTTATTTTAACAATTATAATCAAGGATTTTAGCGTGTCCCTCAATCTATTAACCCCACCGTGTTATTTTTTTTACTACTTTCCCTTTAAATGGAATTTTGAAAAAAGAAATAACATTATATCATGAAGCAGTCATCACTTCTTTGGAGGGAAAACAAATTAGGCAAGTGAGTGAGATCCTCGATAATTGTAATTTTTACCCATTTTTTTATTTTTTTTTTATTTGATGTGATCAACCTACGTCCACCCTGTTAAGGGAAATACGTGGAAAAATCTAAAACGATTTGTTTAACATCTAAATCCAATTCAAAATAAAGTAAAATTTTAACCGGTTGTACGTGAGTGATAGGAAATCATCCATCCATCCATTCTTTATAAAGAAGAATAAAGTAAAAGTAAAGAATAAAGTAATTGAATCAGTCCACCATAGGGGGCAGCAAAGCGAGTTCACAGCAGGAACTGTATGATTTATAATAAAACGATGAACCATTAACATCTACTATACCTGAAAGTGTTTTGATCCAAGGTCACGATAAATTTATATTTTTGTCCTGTAAAAATCTATAGTAAGGACTCACTTGGGCAGCTGTTAAATGCGAAATAAGTGAGCAAAAAATGTCAGGACTCAGTGGTAAAACAATTCATTTGACATGATGACAGACATTTTAAAAGGCAGCATATAGTTCTGTAATGTCTTCAAAGCACACACTGCAGTTAAGCCAATAAGTCCATTTATGGAGTCATATTAATAAATGCACTTGATAAGATCGAATATCAAAAGGTTCTCCTTCAAGAAAACATCTGAATGGCTTTGTGTCACATTCTGCTTCTTCAACAACAAAGAAAACAAAAGCCACTGGATTCACTCAGTTCACTGTTACGGAATCATAACATATTTGCATGTCAACATAATTGTGTGTTGCACTAACACAAATAAGCCTGTACATAGTTATCAAAGTACACTGTAAAAAATATTTTCAAGATTTGTTATCACAACATATTTTCTTTTGTCAAATCAATTTAAATAATTCATTTAGTTGAGATAACTTATTATTTTGAGTTTCTAATGATTAAATTAATCTCCTTCATTGTATTAACTCACTTTTTTCAGTTCAAACAACTTAAAATTTTAAGTCAACCAGGTTACTTACTTTTTTAAGTTAAACCAACAATATTTTTTTACAGTGTAAATATGAGATAAAAAAATAAAAAAATAAAATAAAAAAGTTATTTTTTTATATAACTTAAAATAATCACATCTTAGTCTCACATATTGGACCACCACCACCAACAACAACAACAACAACAACAACAAAAGATGGTAGTTAGCTGTTGAACCTATTTAATACACTATAAAACATTGGCAGGAATTTACAGGACTAAAGAGTATTATTTTACAATAAATTACTGTAGTCAGAAATGTTCAGTGAAATCAATGGGTCATTTTCTTATGAATTACTGTCAATCAACAGCAAAATGATGCTGACAACACAGTAATTGACTCCTCATGTTTTACTGTGAATTCACATTATGAAGTTGTCTTTAACCATGATACCACTGAAAGAAATGATATTTTTTAGTACTATAATTGTTCTGAAGTCACCATAATGGTGATTGTGTTAAATATGCTTGGGATCTTGGATCTTGTATATTTATATTAAAATTTCTGATCTAGTCAAGTCAGAAATGGAAACATTGGTTAATACAATGATACAACAATAATTGGCTGATTTTAAGCTAGTCATAATATACTGTTATTAGTGTTATTTCGGCAAAAATATTTACCAGTATCTTATTTCAAATTCTTAATTGTTTGTAGATGGATATTTCACAATAGTAATGTCACAGTCCGTCGTCTGCACCAGTCTGTCTTGTCATCAGCACTACACTCCCCAGGATCCTCTTGTCTCCTCTCCTGAACTCACTCCCTCATTAGCCACCTGTTCCTCGTATTGTTTCATCATTTTCACCTGTTTGCACCTCGTTATGTTTGATTCATCTGTGTATTTAGTTCCCTCTGTTTTATTCAGTCCTGGTATTACCACGGTGTTCAGTGTTACCACGCATTTTGTGAGTGTTCCTACCTGTATTCCTGCCTGTACCCGTACCTGTTTGCTGTTTTGAGTTATAGTAAAGTGTTTGAATTGTATCATTTGCCTCTTCGGTCTCCTTCTTCCACCTACACTCCACCAGCACTGTGACAAGTAAAGCATCTGAGATTTAAAGCATCTTAGATTTGGAAGGTGTGACATTGTCTTGATTTTCTTCCATGACCTGACATGGCATGGACAGATATTAATACAAAACACTTTGACACTCAAAAAATAATATATATATATTTTTAATTTTTTTTTATTTATAATTCATTTTTAAACAACACAAACTGCTAAAAGTGAACCAAAAATAAATTCAGAAGCACAGATAAAACCAAGAAGAATCAAGAAACTTCACAGCATAATCTAGTGAATAATCTGAATGAAGAGCACTTTATAAGCCAAAAGAAAGCTGGAGCCTAAAAACCTAGCTGGAGACTTACAATGGAGAACTCTGCATGCCATTATTGTTGTTAATGCTTTTATTTCTGTTTTAAATCCAGATGTTTTTTTTTCCCCGGAGAGAGACACCTTCATGTATTTTTGAGCATTTCCACACAAGTCTTTTTGTTTTGCCAAATCTATTTGACTGGAAAGGGCAA